GCAACAAGACTAACAGCAAACAACAGCGCTGAAGTAAACGCTGGAAATATTCCTTTTAAAGTCGACTCTGGAATATAGATTGGTAAAGAGTTATGAACGATAAGGCAACGTTTATTTTTAACAAAAGCGACTGCTCACCAGGTCCGCACGTTCCTCCGTGCTTACATACAGTACAGGCGCAAGTTATTATATTGGGTTTTTTGTAAGATAATAAGATAGACATTTTTAAATAATTAGAATGTTTATTTGTACAAAAAAAATAACATTATTTGGAATGATCATTTGTACAATATTAAAATAAATAAATTGGGGGAAAAAATAAATACCTAGACGCGTTTTTTCATTTGGGCATAGGCATATATGCCTCAGCCAAGGCTATAGGCCTATACTTATAATTATTATTATTAATTAGGGTCTAGGCATCTAGGCCTAGGCCCTAGGCTAAGTAGTATCATGCCTAGGTAGTAGACTCAGGTAGGAAGGAAGGACCTTGCTCTCTCAATCTCATGATCCGAGTACGAATCCAAGTCTTTTATTTACTGCTAAGCAAATACAGGCCTGTGCTCTAAATTCGATCTAGGCCAGGCCTATATGCATTATAACTTCAGGCATAACCATAATTAATAGAAATTCTACTTATTTTTGTATTCTAGTTTAATAAATTTGCTTGAATAACCCGCGCCCAGGCCTAGCGCTAAGTAAATAAAACGTGCAAAGTGTGGTGTATTGATCATGCGCAGTTGAGCAAAACAAAATTCACGTTGCAGTTTTCTGCACAAAGCCGATTGCCAAATTTCCCGTCGAAGAAAAGTTAGAGACAACGGCAAATCGAAATCAGGCATGCGCAGTTGTGTCCATGAGTTATTAGGTCGTCGTAGAACTGGCCGCGTCTTCTTTCGTAAGCTCCCTATTACTGGCGTTCACTACACCGCGCCCAAGTTCACACCACTCGATTAACGATACTAGCGTAAGTCGTTGTGTCTGAACATAGCCTGTGGCCATTATAACGCCGTATTAGGGCGTATAACACCGTAATTAGGGGATTATAACGCCGCAATTAGGGCGTTATAACGCCGCAATTAGGGCGTTACAACGCCGTATTATGGAGTTATAACACCTTATTAATTTTTTTTTTACTGTTTGGCGGAACCACTGTAACATGTATATGAGTATTGGCAAAGATCTTATAAACACAAGATAGCGTTCTCCGCGATTTACGCGTAACAAATAGAAGCGTCGGTCAAGGTTCAAAAGTTTCCCATTTAGCGCCATTCATGCGCTATTACCGAAGAGAAAAAGTAATAAGTTTTGGAAGAGGGCGTCCTATCTGTTGCCATGGATCTGAGATGGTTCCTGTTCTGCTGTTCACAGGCGGTGTACTGTATGTTCAGATCAGAGCGGTCAAGGGTCAAAAGTTTCCAATTTAACAAGAGGGCGCCATTCATGCCTTATTACAGAATTTGCACGCGTAAATCCCGGAGAACGCTATCTTGTGTTTATAAGATCTTTGGTATGGGTAACGCACATTGAGGGCGTGCTTAAAATAAATACAATGTTCTACACTATGCACCTTCTATGTTTTTACCATACAATATCCTAAAAAAACAAGAATTATATCTTCCTAGAATCCACAAAATTGTTTAAAAAGATAAAGGAAGCCAACAAACATGTCAACACACTTTGACTTTTGCTGCAGCTGGTGTAAAATAAGAGTTTACAAGCTCAATAATTTTTGAAAGGTATTTGTCTCGCTAATCTGCCATTATAGGCACGATTTTTTTTATAAGGGGTAAAGGAATAATGTATTTCGTGAAAAATAAAAGAATGACAAGTTATAGTTTGTTAGTTTGTGTAGTCTTGATTGATTTGTAGTTTATTCAAATTATTTTCAAGGAGTCAATTTAAACCCCAAAAGTGGATTTAAAAGTACAGAACGACTCTTTTTTTTGGAGTAATATATTTACTCTTGTATTTTTACTTCCCAAAGGGAATATTATTAACTCCATAAAAATGGATGGGAATCACCCGGATACAAAGATAAGATATTACTCTAAAAAAGGAGTCGTTTTGAACCTTTTTTTTATTAACACCACTTTTTGAATTTAAATTGACTCCTTGAAATTAACAGTGTACCAGGGTGCATGTGGTGTACCTGCTCATGTCAGTGGTGGCACCTGGATTTGCCCGACTGAGGTCTGATGTTCCCGACTGGGAGTAGCCCAGCTCTCCGACGGCAGCATAAATGGGTGGGGTTATGGGCTTAGCCCCTCAACAAGGCTTATGTGCAAATCCCCGAAAACTAAAGCCATTTAGGAAATTTGAAAAGCTTATATTTAACCAGCTGATTATTTTCTATCGTCTCTCTGCCACAGTGCGAAATAACTGTTGTTTTTTCATCAACAATACTAACTGTGTACAATTTCATATCAGATTCTCAGGCTGTAAGTTATGAAATCATTTACCTTGTTTAATTGTACATGCAGATTTTAAGTGAATATGTTTCCAACATAAAAGCTCATGCCACACCCCCGGCACTCTAACAAAACAATTCGTCAAAGTAGTTGACAAAATGACCTCATGTATCATATACATGATTTAGGCTGGGCGAGCAACCCCTCATCATAAAAACTTAACCCTGCCCACTCCTTCAAAATACGCCACTGTTTCACTTATCGGCTTTGTTCGTTGATTGATTAATTGATTGATATGTTATTTGGTCCAGTGTTTGATTGATTGATAACATTTAACATAGACAAGTAAGATGATTAGCAGTATTATTTATTTATTTTAATACTTTACTAATTAAAATGAAACAATTTCGTTCAGTTACACAGTGCAATACTCACAAATATTCTGTATCTCTGTACCTGGAAGCCTGGCTTCCTTAAAATCGCTCCCAGTCACTACACTGTGTTCACTGCAATCGATACATTGCGTAGTTGTCCCTACACAATCAGAAAGGTGCCCTGATTTAACTAATAATCAGCTTGGCCAAAAGCTGTCAGCGATAGCGCGTAGCGATTTTATGAAAATCAGGCATTGGACATGCAGTAAGACAGTGTAAATAAAAAAATTTGCTAATATCAATGGGCTCAAAATTTCAATAACTCAAAATAATTATAAGTGAATCAAAATGTTAGTACATTAAATATAAAGTATTTGAAATAATTAATAATAACAATCATCCTCATTTCAAAACAAGGCCAAGATTAATAAATATATGTATGTGCCTTTTATAAAAAGGCGGCAAAAGTTTAAAACTAATAGCATAATCGGTAATGCAACTATAGAATATAATTTTTTTTAAATCCAACTATTAATCTACTAAATGTATTACGCAAATAGAATCTTTAATAAAAGCGAAAGACTTTTCAGTTCACAGCTTAGTGTTGTTGTTTTACATTTCGTCCACGTTGTTTTCCAATTCTTTGGTAGACAAATCGGGAATTTGCCCGACCCTTGACCCAGAAAACACATCCAACTGCCAGGGCAACAAGACTAACAGCAAACAACAGCGCTGAAGTAAACGCTGGAAATATTCCTTTTAAAGTCGACTCTGGAATATAGATTGGTAAAGAGTTATGAACGATAAGGCAACGTTTATTTTTAACAAAAGCGACTGCTCACCAGGTCCGCACGTTCCTCCGTGCTTACATACAGTACAGGCGCAAGTTATTATATTGGGTTTTTTGTAAGAGCTAATAAGATAGACATTTTTAAATAATTAGAATGTTTATTTGTACAAAAAAAATAACATTATTTGGAATGATCATTTGTACAATATTAAAATAAATAAATTGGGGGAAAAATGAATACCTAGACGCGTTTTGAACACACGACCTTAAGTTCTTTGGAACACTCCCACCGACCGCCCCATTCATGCGACGTGCCTTATTAGTGGTAATGGCAATAAAGTACAGTAATTTTTAAATAATTAGAATGTTTATTCGTACGAGAAAAAAATAAACATTATTTTTAAATAATCATTTGTACGAGTAAAAATACTTAAAATTAAAAAAAAAATCTTTAAAAAAAATGAATACCAAGACGCGTTTCAAGCTCACGACCGTAAGTTCTTTAGAACACACCCTTAACAGAAGGTTGCAACTTCGAATCGCATCTCAGTGTTAGTTTTCTTTTTTATCGAACATGAATGAGAACAAAACGAAAAAAAAATACGCGATTCAAACTTGCTAAATACGCGATTCGAACCCACGACCTTAAGTCCTTTAGAACACATCCTTATAACCGACCGTGCCACTATTACGGTAGTGGTAAATAGCAGTAATGTACAGCCCTTGCTAAAACCCCTGTTTCGTATTGTAGGTGTAGGGGGAACCCTGGGGTCCAAATTTAAAAAAGGGCAATAATCCCCTCTAGTTTATGTGTACAAAAATTTCCTACACATCCGTTCAAAGCGGGCGACGATGGATGCTTTTAAAGTTTAAAACCCGTGTTTTGTTTTGTAAGTGTAGTTGGAACCCTGCGGTCTAACTTAAAAAAAGGACGATAAACGTTTGTTGAAAATCACCTCTAGTTTATGTGTACAAAATGTCCTGCTCGTTTATTCAAAACTGGCGACGTTGGGCACTTTTAAAGTTTGTTTTGTAGGTGTAGGAGGAAACCTGGAGTCCAACTTGACAAAAAAGGCGATGAACGTTTGTTTGAAATCACCACTAGTTTATGTGTACAAAATTTCATGCACGTCAGGTCAAAATGGCGACACTGGACGCTTTTAAAGTTTGAAACCCCTGTTTTGTTTTGTAGGTGTAGGGGGAAAACCCTGGGGTCCAGCTTAAAAAAAGGCGAAGAACTTCAAATTTCATGCATGTCCGTACAAAACTAGTGACGATAGACGCTTTTCAACTTTTGGTAACAAGAACAACAGTGAGGCTGTTTCAGCGTTTTCGCGGACTAAAAAAAATCACTTGCAATCCATACAATATATATACACAGCCCAGGTGTGAATGCAAATATTGGAATACAAGCTATGTGGCTCGGTTCCAGTAGATACAGAGAATATTTTGTCATTCTTTACGCGTCCTACGAAATTCTTACGAGACAGCACTATTTCGTAGGACGCGTAAAGAATGACAAAATATTCTCTGTATCTACTGGAACCGAGCCACATAGCTTGTATTCCA